TACTTACCTCCCTTGATAAAAATACTTGACATTGAAGTTTTTTATCATTATTATTAGTGAGGTGTACACGAGAATTGTAAATGGTAGGTAATTTTACTTGTATTTTTATTAAGGGAGGTAAGTATCGCTTTTACTCCTACTAAAACAATAGTCTTTTTCCAAGATTTTGACAATCTCTCATTTTGTTACGGATGAAAATAATAAGACGAAATTCTAGGGCCATAAAGAACTCGATGAGACCTTCAAAAAGAGGTATGACACGACCCCTATCCCCTATTCAAATTTTTGGGGGTTGTTCTCCCCCTAGCTAGGGGATTGAAGCTACGGGGATGGAAACAACTAAAAAAATTGTTCCCCCTCAAATCAAACATCGACGTGTCAGAGCGTTTTTTCAGATTCTCATCCCAAATCCAATAAATCGGGGTGGACTGTTTTCCCTGGGAGACCCTGTATAGTGCTTTCACTAATTTACATTCTTTCGAGTCATCATCGGATTCAAGTCCATCTGGTATTTTCATGTACACTGGTTGTTTCAAGTTTCCATTCAAGAACGCGCACTTTACATCAAGCTGATGTATTTCCATATCTTTTTGAACACTCAAAGATAACAAGATACGCAATGTGTGCATTCTTGCAACCGGTGAATATACTTCTTCACTTGAGTCTGTTTGTTGGTATCCGCGAGCCACCAATCTTGCTTTCTCTATTTTCCCACCATTAACATCTTTTTCACGAAAAATCCATCTAGAATCGATCACTTTTTCACTATCTGGAATACTTGATTTAGGCACTAGTTTCCATGTGTTGTTTTTCTTTAATGATGATAACTCTTGATTTACTGCTTCATTCCATCCACTATCTTTTACAGGTTCCTGATAGGTGTTGAGAACTTCAGCTGAGAAATCTCCAATTGATAAAGCTTTCATATTCGTCATAGCGTTTAGGTAAGACTCTGTGCCTTGTTTCTCTTCTTCCATTGTTATTTTCTTGTGCGTTCACATCATTATTTTCCATTTAATCATTTTCACTTTGATTTTCACACTCCAATTCAGATTCATTATCTTCATTTTCATTCTCACATATTCTCATCTTATTCTTCTTCACTCTTGTTTCTCCACCCATCATTCTACTTTCATCAAATATGACATTTCTGGCGGTTACTATTTTGCTGGAATTTGGGTCCCATAAACGATATCCATTATCAGTATGAAAACATCTTACGGCTTCTGGGATACAATTTTCCATGTCTATCCTCTACTGGAATATGTACATGTGCTGTGCAACCAAAAACTCTTATCTTTTGAAGATTTGGTTTTTGTTTGTGCCAAATTTCAGATGAGGTTTTATTCTCTGATTAAACAGATGTTGGGGTTCTATTTATGAGAAATGCTGATGTGGCAGCAGCCTCCAAAAATCTTTGCTCATACTTGCCTCAAAAATCAAGCATCTTGCTTTTTCTAAGAGGGTTCTATTGTAACGGGTATTGTGTATTCTTTCTTTACTTACACCTTTCTGTTTACAATAATTCTTCATTTCGTAAGGAATATACTCCCCGCCATTGTCACATCGTATTTTTTCAGGTAATTTACCAAATTTCTTCTTGACCATTGCTATGTATTCTTTAAATTTCTGGCAAACTTCACTCTTATGGGTCATAAAATAAATCACTGAAATATGTGAGAAGTTGTCTATGAAACTAACAAAATACTTCATACCATCATGCGTTACTGGATTTATAGGCCCACAGACATCACTAGAAATCACTTCCATTATTCTTTTCGCCTTTCTCTTTTCTGGCAATTGTACAAATGGTTTTCTTGTCTGTTTCCCTTGTAAACAGATTTCACAGATTTTCGAACAAGGATACTTAGACGAATGCCCTATTCTTCGGTGTAAAATATCTTTTTCTTGCACTGTGATATTTGCTTGCATTTCTGGTATTTCAAAGTTCATAGTATACAAATTTTCCATGAATTTTCCTGAAGCTACTTCATTTTCACCATTCAAGGCTGATATCTTACTTTTCTCAAAGATTATCTTAAGGCCTTTTCTTTCTATTTTCTTTACAGATAATAGATTATGCGAGAGATTCTTACATACCAACACATTTTGCAACTTAATGTTTAATCCATTCTTAGTTTTCAAGTGCAGTGTTCTTTTTATGTGTGCTTCAACAGAACGCCTTGTTTTGCAACTTTAATGTAATGCTGCACTTTCTTTGTATCTACCAGATACTTTTCCAAATTTTGAGTCACCAAGTGGTTTGTTGCTCCACTATCCACTACAAAATCAATAGTGCCATTTCCAGAGTTACAATTTTCTGAGGTCAAGTATGTAATAAAAGTTACTTCCTGGTCTTCAGAAACATTTGCATTTCTTTATGGGTATTTATTTTAGTCTTCTTGTTTATTCTTGAAACAATCCGATTTCTTATGTCCTCGTAAGCCACATCCATAGCATTTAAATAGAAATTTTCCCATCTCCATGCCTTTCTTTTTCTGTGCTCCGAAAGCCTGTGTGGAATTTTCATCATGACTTTCACATTTCTTTTGTCTAGACTCTTCTACTAGCAACTTGCTCTTGACAAAATCTAGGGTAACTGCTGCCTGATTCTGATAAAAGTAAATGTCATATCCATTGCTGTGGTCACAGTTTGATAATTTTCTGGCATGACTGCCAAAAGTTGGGTTATCACTTCTGTGTCGCTTATGGTTCCACCACAATTCTTTAGTTCCATGACTGTTTTTTCAAATTCTATCAAAAAAGCATTCAAAGATTCAGCTGAGTTGATTTTTTTTTCCTCAACTTGCACTGAAGTTGCACCTGTGTAGCCAATCCACTTTTCTGATAAGTTCCGCTTAAGGTTTCCATAATTTCCTTAGCTGTGGTTTTCAACTTAATCAGCTCCAACACATTATCCGCTAGACATTGAACAATCAAATTTCATGCTTTCAGATCTTTTCTTCTTCCATGCGCTGAGTGCTGTTAGATCTGTTGCTGTTGACGGATCCTCCGTCAAGACTCCCAGAACACCATGGTGTTCAAGTACTAATTTCACTCGAAAATCCCAATTACTGTGTCCAGAACCATCGAAAGGTTTCACGGTAATTGTTCCACTACTTGATGCCATATTTACACTGGTCTCCGACTGCGATTACCTAACCTTTTTGTCACCGACAATAAATTCCACTTCAAAACTTTTTCCATGAACTACTCTATCTCCGCGACTGCCTGGTTACTGGGCCCATAACTTATTAACCAGAGGCTTTTGTTTTAAAGACTTTTATTTGATACGATTATAAAAGGTTTATACTAATAAACTAAAAAGTTCTCTTACAGCTGACGAACAACAACAACCAATGAAAACAACCAAACTTGTTGACACTCATGACAGACAGGATGTCGAAAAGTCATACATAAATTTGGAGTACCTACATTCGCGTAACATTTCGATGTTCACATTTATGAGTTGTAACATTAACATTCAACACCATAACATGAACCAGAGCCCTATTGTGGCTTAATGAAAAGCCACATCATGGAAGAACTTAACAAATGGGAGAAAGACCAACTGTCATCATATTGGAGGCACACTCCGAGACTAAGACAGTCAAAAAGGTTTATCACCTTTTCAGCAAAAAGAGCTAAACAGCTTCTAAACATGAACAGACCAGACATCAGAATGGTCGTACGACTGCTCACAGGACACTGCCTGGTGAAATACCACTTAAAGTTAATGGGCAGAGCAGAAGATTCTCAGACGCAATAGAGACGGCAGAGCACCTGCTCTGCGAATGTCCAGCCCTATTCTGCAAGAGGCTCAAATTCCTCGAAGGAACAACACTGTCACCAGAAGAAGTGGGCCAACTGACACCCAGAAAAATATCTGCAAAGGTAGCAGTGCTGAGCGGCTGGAAAGCCGAAACGACTCCTCCCACAGTCTTCAGTCTACAAGGTAATGAGCAGAAAATGTAAAAAAATAAAATAATAAAAGTGAGCTGGCAACCTTCGAAAAACCCTAGAGTTTACCAGCCCTGGGTTAAAATAGCTTAGATAAACACCTTTCGACTATTACCTAGGTAGTTAGCCCAGAGTTAGAGTTGAGCCAAGGTCAGCAAACTCTGCGAGTTATCCATTGATTGATAAACCGTCCCTAGGAAGTTTAAATTTGAGTTACCTTGTTTCAGGCTACTTGGAGTTTCATATTGCTAGTTTTCTCTAGCAGTCTAATTTCTACCTTCAATATTGTTAAGATTTGTCTCAAAAGTGGCGAAATGCCTTATTTGAATTAATATTCAAGGTTTTTTTAACTTCACTTTTACCATTAGGTATCTTTGGAACATTTTCTCGTCTAGACTAGGCTTTCCTAAAATAGTTGGTGGAAACGGCCATAAGTGTCAGTGTCAGTCGTCGATAACTCAATCCACAGACTCAATCAATCAAACGATAATAATGTTCTGTGATAATAATTATAACGGTTTACCATCAATATTCTTATACTTAATTGAAGCATTAAGGATTCAAAACCGCAACAAGGAATGAAAACGAAGCTTCAGGCGCAAAATAAGTTAATAAGGGGGGCCAGTAAATCGGCTTGAGGGAGTACGTTCCATCGGGATAGGTTCGCCCAAAACGTATGATGCCCGTAATATAGAGAGAGGAGAGCCGGCTTAAGGCTACGTAATCGGCTTCGTTATCGCCGAGGCCTGTCCCTTGATCCCCTGCCTAATCACACCACCGCTATTGCCTCAGCAATACTCTCTATTCTGGCCATATGCGAGTTTAATATGTGGAAAAAACCGATATTGAAGCTTGGAAATATTGTCGGGTTTTTTTTTCAATTAGTTTGGATTTGGTTGATGCACTTGGATTGATATTTGGAAGAAACTATTGATATTCCTCTATTAAACACTGTCTACGTTACTGGTTTAACCCTTGTTTCTCACATTCATCATAACCATTAAATGTGTCAACTTCAACCAAAGTCATCTAGACATTATTTTCCTTACAAAATCATCATGTGTTGACCCCATTTAAAAAAAAAAAATTAAAAAAGAAAAAAATGTAACAAACTAATATAAAAATCATCCCCTCATTATCAAAATTCCAAGTGCTATGAGTAAACGAGAAATAATCCAGATCCATATAGGACAAGCTGGAGTACAAATGGCCAGTGCTTGCTGGGAATTGTATTGTTTAGGTATTGATTATTGAATGAATTCTTGATCAAATCACAATGTTTCATTGGAATTCAATTGATCGAACAGGTAAGTTCTTCGAAAGCTCGTTTTGTTGAAACTAAATTGATTATAGAAGAACACATTGATGACACACGACTGTTCTATGAATTCGATCTACGAATCTCCAAAATAATCAACCATTTCCTGTACTTTTTCTGGGAAGAAAGCGCACATTGTATCGAGGAAAGGGTCGAAATGCCAATAGGCACTCAACATCCTTTATGTGAGATAGACATCTCTACAATTTTTCCAGACATGTCCACTACTTATGAAGTCAGGGAAACTTATCTTGAATAAGTTCAAGTATCTTGCCTGGAACTGACCTTTGAAGTCTCTGAAGAACATCACCAAGAAAGTGATGACATAACTCATTATAACTGGACGCTTTCATGAAAAACAATGATATTTAAGACTTGACAGAAACCAATTCTCACACGCCTCGTTGATAAGGTGTTCAAAGACATATCAGATAAATGTGATTTACCAATTAATCAAAGTGCAAAGAAAAAAGGGGAGCAATGCGGATCACACCCACTACATCCGTAGAGCCCCTCCTGAACTTTCGTACTTTGTGATACAGGAAGAGACTGCAACAAACAACTTCGGACGATGTGAATTCCTAGCAGAAATAAATAGGAAAATGGTAAGCCAGAGACCAAGAGGCAGGATCAGGCCTGATACAATAACAAAGAACTAAATTGAAGGATGAAACTAATGTAGCGATCGAGGGTAACGAAAGAGCCAGACGATTTCGTTGACAGACGAACAGAATCAAAACTCATCAGCCCAGGGATAAGAAAGAGTATGAACCGCATAAGCCACATCAAACTTGGTTCGGAAAAAAAAGCTGTAATTACTGAACAACAACTAGATTTTGTCTATATCAAGTATCAACTTGGAAATTTGTGATTTCGATCAACTTTCGATAAAACGAGCTTCCAAAGAACTTAACATTTTGATGAACTAAATTCTATTAATTTCCCAAGTATGACTAAAATTCTTTAGAACACGGCATCCAGGTCGATGGTCAATTATATCCAGGATACGATACGGCCGATCACAGTTCGGACACCTTTTTCAGTATAACGGGTAGCGGACAAGCGGTTCCCAGAGTGGTAATGATCGATTTGGAACCAACCGTCATCGATGAGATTAGAACAAATTACTACAGGAAACTATTCCATCCAAGCTCTCTGATAACTGGTACAATCTATTAATCTTATTCATGTAGTACTGTTAATAATAATTTTTAGGCAAAGAAGATGCAGCAAATAATTATGCACGAGGCCGTTACACTATAGGCAAAGAAATGTTGGATCTAGCCTTAGACAGAGTCCGTTTAACAGCCGATGATTGCCACTCGCTTCAAGGTTTCATCCTTTTTAGAGCTTTTGGAGGTGGTACCGGTTCAGGCTTCACCACCAGCCTGTTGGAAGGCCTATCAGCCGACTATGGCAAAAAGAGCAAGTTAGATTTTGCGGTGTATCCAGCTCCACGTATATCTCCGGTCATTGTCGAACCATACAATGCTGTGCTTACAACTCACGGCAGCATCGAAGACGAAGATGTTTGTTTCGTGATGGACAATGAAGCTGTTTATGATATTTTAGATAGAAAACTGGACACTCCTCGGCCAACTTACACTAACCCGAATCGTCTTTTAGCCCAAGTGGTTTCGGCTGTAACTGCTTCACTTAGGTTCGAAGGTGCCACCAATGTAAGCCTAGAAGAATTCCAAACAAACTTGGTACCATATCCGAGAATTCATTTCCCATTGGTCACTTACGCCCCGTTTATATCGGCAACCAAGGCTTTGCACGAGCAACTCTCAATAGCTCAATTAACTAATGCCTGTTTCGAACCAGCCAGCCAAATGGTCAAGTGCGATACCAGAAAAGGCAAATACATGTCTTGCTGTTTGCTGTATAGAGGAGACGTTTCGCCAACTGACGTAAATAATGTTATAAACAGTATCAAAGGTAAAAGAAGTATTCAGTTTGTTGATTGGTCACCGACTGGGTTCAAAGTTGGAATCAATTACATGCCACCGACTACAGTACCTGGAGGTGAGCATCGATAAATTTCCAAAGTCGAGGAAAACAATTTTGGAGTGTATTTTTAGGTGACTTGGCGGCAGTAACGAGAGCTGTAACGATGTTGTCGAACACGACCGCGATTAGAGAGCCTTGGGAGCGGCTTTTACACAAGTACACTATGATGTACAAGAAAAGATCGTTCGTACATCACTATGTTGGCGAGGGGATGGAAGAAAACGAGTTTCAAGAGGCAAAGGAGGATTTGGGAGCTTTGATTATGGATTATAAAGAAGTGGATAGTGGATAGTTTTTTTTTTTTTTTTTGGTAACTTCATTAAACATGATGAGAAATTCTGTTGATTTGTTTTTGATTGCTATCGGATGAATTAATAAAAATTCGATTGTCTCTTATTAATTTATATCAGTTTCATCTGATCGAATCTAATTGAAAAAGAAAACATCAAGAGAATATATAAACGAGCCGATGGATCCCTCGACGCAAGCCGATTTCGTTTGCCCCCCTCTTATTATATTATTTTGAGCTTCTATAAAGCCCTCGCTCTATTTTATTCTTGCGGTAACGACGGTAATACGCAATTATCGACTGCGGAATAACCGTAGGTACGTAGTTGATACCGGAATTAATGAGCCAATTAAAACATGATGCGGTTACCGCTAATTAGTTATGTTTGCAAAATAAATCCGCCCTTAGGATTTGGGGAGAGAATCCTTTTATGTGTTCGGAATTCGATACACTGGTTTTTAGAACATATAATGCCAATTTGAGACTATTGAAATGTCAACTAGCTCAAGGATTCAGTAATGATCTACAAAACATTACATTCAAGATTTCAAGGACTCATCAAAATATAAAATAGTATAGTATATTTGTCATCTATGAGTGAGGAGTCATTTCAATATTAAGTACCTATTTACCAGATACTTGAACTTGTGATGGAGTTGCTAGTAAATTATTACGGAAAACAAGAAAAAGCAAAAAGCTAATAAAAGTTAGCAAACAAAATAAAAAAAAAAAACACACGTAAAAGTAAATCAAAATGAAAGGCGCTGGGTGAATGAAAGCGAGAGAAAGAGAGGAAAAACTTGTGTAGGTATTAAGGTGTGAGGGCCCGGTCGAACGAATTCCTGAGAGCTTTCAAAATTTCAACGAAAAAAAGAGCCTTTTTGCTACCTCAAATTTAAATGTAATTGCTCGAAAGAGGATTGAATTTTAGGATTTGAAAAACATGTCGTGGGAATGGACTCCAAACATGCGAAGTGACATCGGTTTAAAAGTGTAATCTGCCCCCAAATACTTACTTTAAAGTGACGGTTTTAATCAACTGCAGGATATTACTCGTGCAGGTCACGTGTCTTTTTTTTTTCTAGGGGGCCACGCGTTTGACGAGACACTCTTGTCGACGTAATTTGGGGGGTGGAACTGGCAAGGGTAACACTTTTATCGATAAGATACTTTAAAACTTTCTACAGAAGAGGTTTATTTAAAAAAACGTTGTGAACCAAGGGACGTTTTCTTGCAGCGCAAATATTACGGAGGTTGTCGATACATCAACTTTCTAGGAAGTAGAGTATAAGGAAAGAGATACAGCTTAAAAATTAACTGTTCCACATCCTGAAAACATAATATATTTCCGGGACCTTTTCAGACAATTCTAACAACATCTCAACCCATTTAGTAGCGCCATCCATCACCCAACATTTATTATACAAATAAAGGTGTGTTCTTTCGAATTCAAGGAAAGCCTTAACCAGTTAATCAGCCAGTCCTCCTCAGTAGGCACCTAAAATTTCTGATAAGATGTGAAGGTTATGAAGAATTAATGAATAAAATTGATGCATTCAAATGCATTTACTCTCATATGTGAAGAAGATGCTGGAACAAGAAGAATGCGGTTTTTTGAAAATACAGAGCTGTATTTGAAAAATAGCTATCGAATCATAATAAGTTTGGTTGAGAACTCCAACGTTCTTGAGAGGAAAGTTGAGGTTGAAGCTACTGATAAATTGAAGTTGAGTTGAAGAAAAGTACCTAGTAAAACTAGTAAGTCGTCCTTCCCAGAATGCAGAAAGTTTCGGTACCAGTTTTGTAGACTCGATGAAGATTAGGATAGGTAACTAAGTATCTCAGATAGGTACTCAACAATCCTAAATAATCGTGTTCGACTTCTAGTCAAAAGCCTTTTTCCTAATAGTGTAGTCAAATTAACAGATTTTGAGGAGTATAAGGTGGAACAAATTAAAGTAAACACAAATGTTCAATGGTGAAAATTTGATGAGACGGGCGTCCTGAATAATATAGGTACTAAAAGTCCCATCCAATCTGATAATGGCAAGTTTTGGAAAATCGCCTCCATTGCGAATTTTTCAAGTTTTTGGTTTTATTTCCAAAACATCCGGGTTTTTTGAAAACTTTCAAGTTAGGTCCATTTGTATTTTTTTTTTTTTTTTTTTTTTGATTTTTTGATATATTTTCCATATTTCAATTCAGGTGACGAAGTTTAAAAAATTTGATTTGCAATAGACCTATCTCGTATGATTAGAAAAAGAGAGCTTAATTGTAATAAATACAAGTTAGAAAGCAATAAAAGATGACATGCGCGCGCATCTCGTAGGCTGCAGTGTAGCCAGATTGTATTGTTGCAGAACAAATGTAGACAATACAAATCGAACATTATAACATTAAAAAAGTGATATAGTGTCAAGTGTTTTACAATGCCTTAAATCAGACAAAAGAAGAGATTTAAAGTGGATGAACATCGTTTGCACTTTTATTTTGATAAATGTTTCATCCGAAAACATCGCTCAATAAAATTGCAAAGGAATATGTCAAGTATAATCTAACATAACCTTAAACGAAACTGCGGTGAGTTCAAGTAATATGTAAAGTATTAGTTTGCTCTTTGTCAAATTACACGTTACAAAGAAAGAAGGAACGATTCATTCTGAACTAGCCCCTGAATAAGAATATGACGCAAGCCTGTCACAAACTTGCTTCTCATTGGACGCTCACCTGCAGCCTACAACCGACGCGCGCAGTCCAGGTAATCGGAGATCGGTCTATTATGTTATCCAAAAAATCCATGCCATATTGTTTAAGACACTGACATGACTATAAATCGGTTAATAAGTAAATTCCTAATAAAACTAAGTGTGTTAATCTTTTTCGTTTGCAAAAATGTCTGTTGAGTTGTTTTATTTTTATTTTCAAAGATCTTTGTTGAGCTGTTTGGCATTCTTGAGAATCAGAATAAGAGTCTCTCTTGAATCTGACGTAGTTCCCCATTCTCAAAGAATGAAAATCTGTTGAATCTGGCTAGTATGTTTTTCATTCGCAAAAATATCTGTTGAGCATTGTTACAGATTTCTGTGGAATGTTTCTCATTCTCAAATGTTTCGGCTGAATGTTTTCTCATTCTCAAGAATCTTTGGTGAATATTGGTGTGGCTTCTCATTCTCAAAGATATCTGTTTTGATCGTCATTCTTTAGAATCTGTTATTAGTTTTCCATTATTTGATTCTGAAAGAATCTCTGTTGAATCTGTCGTAGTTTCCCATTCCCAAAAAAAAATAAAAATCTCTGTTGAATCTGGCTAGTTTGTTTTAAATTTGCAAAATTATCTGTTGAGCTGGTTTCATTTTTTAAGATCTCTGTTGGATGTTTCTCATTCTCAAGAATCTTTGGTAGATTTGATATTCCTGATTTTCAAATATTTCGATTGAATGTTTTCTTATTTTCAAGAATTTATGGTGAATTTATTGCATGTTTTCTCATTTTCAGAGATACCTGTGTTCGTTAAATTGATAGTCATTCTTTAAGAATCTGTCATTAGTTTTTCATTTTTTCATTCTGAAGAATCTCTGTTGAATCTGTCATAGTTTCCCACTCTCAAAGAATTAAAATCCCTGTTGAATCTGAGTTCAAAAATTTCTGGTGTACTAATTGTACGGTTTCTCATCTTCAAAAATGTCTGTTGAGTTAATTGTCATTCTTTAAAATCTGTCTTCTGGTGTAAAGTCTATTTCATTGCAGTTGATAGCTCAAAGCAAGGACGATAAAATCATTATGAACAGTATGGTTTACAATGGTCTCACAATGACTTATTTATGATCGTAAACCTCGATTTGAACTATCAACTGCAATGAAATAGACTATAGCTGATTCCCATTCGCAAAGTTATGGCTCTTTTTCATTTCTCGTTTGCTTGCGCTTACTACTTTAAGGTCCGGTTTATTCAACTTTTGATAAACTGTTAGATGCGGCAATCTGACGGGTAAAAATTGGCCAGTTATCCGCCGACCAATAGAATTATATGAGTCTGCATGAAAAGAAGGTAGGTTCCGCGGTATCACGCTCTCCACAGTAAGAGCACTCATTGTTGAATGTTTTACCTATTTCGAGAGTATAATCTATGTAGCACTCATGACCAGACAGAAACTGGGTTACATATAGTAGTTTATTTCCCCTGTGCTCCCTGTCAATCCATGTTCCTATGTCCGGGATCAACCTGGCTATCCACCTGCCCTTTTTGCTAGCTTCCTACCTATCCTGCCATTCAGTCCTCCTGATGTCTTGTACCACTTTGCGAGCGTTTGTTATCTCCTGCGGCTTCGCCTTTGAGGCCTGTACCGCCTCCTCCACCAGGAGGTCTATAGGAGGCAATTCCGCGATCACTAGCAAAGCGTCTGTTGAAACAGCACGAAAGCTGCTGATGATTCGGATTGCGGCCTGTCTCTGTACCCTCTCATAGATGGCCCAATTGATATCCGTCGACATTACGGATCCTCACACTAGAACAGCGTATAGCAGGACAGATCTCCCCACTGAGCGCAGCAATCTTCTCTTGCTTGCCCTTGGGCCATCAATGTTGGGCATCAGCCTCCCTGGTGCCATCATCGCACTGCTGGTTTGTGTCGCGGTTTTATAGGTGAATCCGGTACTTCCTAGGTATTCTATCTCCGTTCTGGGAACAATCTTCTTATTCAGGATTTGAAAGGTGGTATGAGGTACTGTCGCTTTGAGGAAACAAAGCAATGGCGTATTTTTGTTTCAAGTTGTACGAGCCCGAAGGGCCAGAGTATCAAAATCAGTTGACAATGAACGGACTCGTATAACTCCGGACCTTCGGGCTCGTAATGTAATTAAAATAACACCGGCCTTTCAGGCTCGAAATTTGAAAAAAACATATGGCAATACTGCTTAAGATGCAACAAAATTGACGTTTCAAAGTAGGCCTTGTTTTCTTTAAAACTCGATACTAAATGGCATTTCTTTGTTGCCCTGTGAGCACAAGATTGAAAACACTCTCGCCCTTCGGGCTCATGATTTAAAAAAACGCCATTTCAATTCTCTAGCGTTACAGTGTTGCCAAAAGTTAAAAATTTCAATCAGCGTACAAACGTTTGAAAATTAAGGTCAGTTGGGGTAAGTGCGTATTTGGGGTAACAGCGTCCGGTTCATATAATAAAAGAATCATACAGATTGCTGGCTCCAAAACTGTGTTAATGTGCTGTGTACAAAGTACTTTTAGCGTAAAAAATATCTGGCATTATTGCGCCGCACCATAAGTCAGCTGTCACAGTTCTAACCGTACGGTACTATTTGAAGTTGGAGAGCGAGT